GCCTGCTTCTCCCTCTCCCACTCCCCCTGCTTGTGTTCCCTCTCTCGCTGTGTCTTTCTGTCAAATAAATAAATAAAATCTTTAAAAAAAAAAAAAAGGTACCGCTTGGTAAATATGTTTGTTTTTTTGTGTTAGGTGGAAGAAATTGTTCAGGACTCGATTACTAGGAATCTCCAAGCCTTCTACAAAATGCTACAGTCATATGACCTCGGAGACACGGGGCTCATTGGTCGAAATAATTTCAAGAAAATCATGCGCATATTCTGCCCATTTTTAACGATCGAACATTTACTGAAGTAAGTGTTTTGGTAACGAAATTAATTCGGGTCATGTTTTTTGTCAAGTCTGTTTATAATCCTAAAACAACTTCTATGTGTGTTTGTAGTATTGATAGGGAATATTGATAATTGCTATTTATTGGGTCCTTACTAACATAGGACATGGGTCGAGAGTTTGGCACGTGCTCTGTGATTTAGTTCTCACAACAGCACTCCTTTCCATGGATAAGGACACCGAGGTCTGAAGAAGTTAAGTACCTATCCACAGGCACATAGCTAGGAGGCCATGGATTGAATCTACCTCCCAGGTCTCTGTGACTCTTCTGCTCTTAATCCCGATACCAGTTTACCTCCCGGGGTGCCTGGCTGCCATCAGCCATCCTGTGGAGAAAGGCTGGAATTATAGTTGTGTTTTACTTTAGTTTAAAACTTGCCTCTTGGGGGCTGAGCGAAGCTGGAAGGGGACAGGAATCTTAAAAGAAGAGCACAGTGCCTTGAAGGCCCTTGTGAGTCTCCTGCCGTGTGTCTTGTTCACCCCGCTCACGGCTGCCCTTGGGGCACAGAGCTCACTTGCTTCCCTGTCCACAGTGACCTTGAGAACCTACAGCTTGAATCCTGCTTCCCCTGCCAGCACCCGAACGTCCTGCTGTGCGCTCCAGCTTGTCGTCCAGAACTCAACCTTACAGACTATTTGGTCCATGCTTCCCACTGTGGACAGCCATCTGGGAGATTAGATGGAAATCCATTGAATCGCAGGGAAGAAAGTTACTCTAATTCTCTCTCAGTCCTTCTGCCTGGAATGTTAAAAATCTTATATTTGTTGCTTTTGATGACATTACATTGATTTCAGGTGACACAGTTGATCTACCAGTATTTGTTGGCCACTCGAGTCTCCTTTCTGTGAATGTTCATGTTTCGTTACCCATTTTTCTTGTGGTTGGTTTTTGCAGGAGAAGAAGGGTTTACAGGAGGAGGGTGAGGCCAAGGCTTTCCTGAGCAGAGAGGCGCACAGAGCTTGGTGTTTGCATTCATCCATTTACCGAACGTTTGCAGAAAGGCCAGCTTGCTGGAGTGTGGGAAACACGGAAAGGGGGAGAGACAGGTGGCAGCAAGTCAAGAGAGAGGGTTCTAGAGGGAGCTCAGGGGGCCTCTGCAGGGCAAGAAGTGAGTATGCAGGGGCTTCGGCTGCCTTGGCCTCTGCTATGTGCAGTCAGGAGGAGGGTACCCATGGGGACAGTTCATTTACTCCTTCACTTAGTCTTTCACTCTGTGGGTGGTATTAGGGAGTGCCTACTGCATACCTGCTCTCCTACATAACCGGTTAACGGAAATCCCTTTATTTCCAGGGTGCTCTAGTGTGGGGGAAAGAGATGCAGACAAACCCAGCATGGCCTGTGAGCGCAGCTCTGGACGAACTCGGAGGAGCGCTCACTTACAGCTGGGCAGGACGGAATGTGGGAAGCTTCTCCGATGTGATGCTTGAGTCCGAAGGGGAAAGGGAAGGGCATTTCAGGATGTAGGATATGAGGCAAAGCCCAGAGAGTAGGGGCACATCTGGGGACGGGCAAGCCCTGTAGGACCATTGGGGCAGGCAGTTATGTAGGGAGGAACAGCAGGGGGATGATGCCGAGGGATGGGCGGGGTCAGGCTAGAATGGGAACTGGGGCCATTCGTCAGGGCACTGGTTCCCAGCAGCATCTGAGAATCATCTGGAGAGCTTTGAAAATCCCAACGCCCATGCCCTGTCCACAGGCCGGGCCAGGCACTGTCCCCACCGGCTCTGATGTGCAGCCGAAGTGGAGAAGCACAGCCCAGGGAGTGAGGAGCCTGTGACATGGCTTTGGATGGGGCAGGGGGCAATGTCACATCTGTGCTCTCTAAGGGTTGCTCTGGCCCCAGTGTGGAGAAAGCACTGTGACGGAAGGGGAGGGGGACAGGTGGGCAGCACAGCGGTGGCAGTGGCACAGCAGGGGGGAGGGACAGGACTCAGGGACCCTGGACATGGAGGTGGATGGGAGAGAGGGCAGCCAGAGGCTGTGTCATTGGCCAGTTAGGAAGCACAGAGGAGCCTACGACCATACCACCCTGAACGTGCCCGATCTCGTCTGATCTCGGAAGCTGAGCAGGGTCTGGCCTGGTTAGTACTTGGATGGGAGGGAGCACAGAGGAGTAAGCAAGTCGAGTGACAACTCCAGCAGGAGACTCCCAGAGGACGTGGGCACAGACGCGATTCTCTTTACGTTGACAGCCTGAGCCTTCATTCAGCAAGCGTCTATCTGGGAGCAGATAGTAGACCATCTGAGGTGAGAGGGCGGGGGTAGGACCTGGCAGAACACCACCAGCTCATCAGTGACCTGGCCGGAGGGGCGGAGAAGGTCAGGGTGATGGCCCAGAACCTGCGGTGTGGGAGCTCTGGGAGTAGGAGAAGTCAGCGGGTCAGGCAGCACACAGGAAGCAAGGGGGATGAGCACTCACACTAATCGTGGCTGTTGCCTTAGCAAGCAAGGCCTCAGGAGAGGGGCGGGCTAGAGCAGCCCCCACAGGGCGGGAGGGTCAAGGTGAACCCAGCAGGTGCCAGTGAGCGTGCAGGGAGTGTGGAAAACGCAGTGTCGAGGAATGGATCCACTCCTGAAACTCCAGTACCTGGGCTAGAACAGTGCCCGGTGCGTGCTCAGGGCTTCTTCAGTGTTTAGTGAGGGAATGAATGAATGAGTGAGGGAGTGAATGAATGAATGAATGAAATCTAGTGGATTGGTCATGCAGGTAATTGGGTATTTGAGATGGAAGCCTCTCTAATCCATTTTCCATGATGCAGCCAGGCTTATCTGTCTCAACTACAGATCTGATCATGTTAAAACCCTGCTTAAAACACCCTGGTGTCCTACTGCTGCTAGGAAAGCATCCAGATGCTTTCAAGAGTGGCTTCCCAGGCCCCACATGACCCTCACACCCTCCAGAGCTCTGGCTTTGCAGCCAGACTGCCTGGGTGTACAAATCCCAGCTCATCCCTGAACTGGCTGTGGACTTGGGCAAGTTACTTACCCACTCGGAGCCTCAATTTCCTCACGCAAACGTTACTTAAGAGAGTGCGGTAAGGGTCAAAGGAGATCCTGGACGTAGAGCCCTCCACCCGGCGCTGAGCTCAAGAAACATTGCCTCAGCTGCTGCTGTTCTCTCAGCACAGACTGAACCGCTTTCCATTTCCTGACCCCAAGCCCTCTCTCTCATCTCTGGACTTGTAGACGGCTTATTCGCTCGGTTCCAAATGCGCACTTTCCCGGCCGCTTGGCTCCTTGGGGTGGGGGTTGTTTAGCCTGTTCACAGTGGTAGCTGTAATACTCAGCACGGTGCTTGGTACCTGGCAGCATAAGGACTTCCTGAAGCAGTTAGATCAATGGCCAGAACTTCCTGAAGTGCCCCTCACTGGGTGCATTTTATAGACAAGGAAACTAAAGCAGAGAAAGAGTGAGGTGCCCCAGGTTGGCGGTTCTCAATCCTTGAATGGGCTTAAAAATTATTGGGGACCTCAAAAAGTTTTCGTTATATGGAGTGTATCTATCAGTATGACTGGATTAAAAATTAAAACTGCACATTTGAAAAAGGTTATTGCAGAAAATGAATGTGTATTTCCTTGTTGGGTTTCCCTGTAGGCTTAGGGAAAACATTGCAGTTTCAAAATAATGACTTATTGGATAAGGAGGTTACAGAAATTATAGCAGGTGTAACCAAAGGTAGCTGGTAACAAGCTAGTGAAGGTCCGTAAAGGAACTAAGCAAATCTCTGAAAACTCACTCCAGCTCCTCATTTATACTCGAAACATTTCCACAGCCTTAGAAAATGTTAGAGAACACAGCCTTCCCGAGCACACGTTCCGTCAGTGGTCACACGTCAGGTGGCCTCTGAAAAACCCACTGTGTGTGAGAGGTGCAGGGTGGAAAAGGCAAATGACTTCCTAGTATCTATATGAAAATGCTTCGGGACTCCCTGGTGTTCTGGAAGGGGCCACAGACCACACCTTGTGAACGCTGCCTTCGCTCATTGAGGGGCTGTGACGTCTGGAGCTGATATTCCAACCCAGGGAGGCCGATTCCAGGGCCTGTACCCATAGCCACTTGTGCCCTGTTGCTTTGTGTATTCTCATAAACGTATGGAATTTTGTTTTGGTCCCCAGGCTTTACCAAGTTTGCTACAATGGGTGTGTGCAACTTTTATGATTAGAAGAATCCTAACAAATAAAATGTTGGGGGAAAAGGTAGTTCCTGTCATATTAGTGGTTGCCTACATTTTTCTAAAATATTTGCATATGCCAAAATTCCAGTATAGGTACTTCCACAACTCCATCCCAGAACTTGCCATTTTAAAAAAATTCTTTTTACATTTGTTATATCTTTATTGCAGTATTCTTTACAAACTATAAACTGCACATATTTATTTATTTGTTAAAGATCTTATTTATTTATTTGAGAGAGAGCAAGACAGAGCACACACACACACACGTGTGCACCCGAGCTGGAGGAAGGGGCAAAGGGAGAGAGAGAGAGAGAGAGAATCCCAAGCAGACTCCCCGCTGAGTGCAGAGCCCAATGCAGGGCTCAATCCCAGGACCCTGAGATCATGACCTGAGCTGAAATCAGGAGTCGGACGCTTAACCAACTGAGCCACCCAGGTGCCCCTAAACTGTATACTTATTTAAATGATACAGTTTGAGCATCTCCATCATGTGTATACACCCATGAAACCTTCACAAGTTATCAATCAAGATAGCAAACATTTTCATCCCCCTGCCCCAAGCTTCCTTGTGCCCTCCTGCTATTCATCTCTTCCACAGCCCCAGCAACCACTGATCTGCATTCTGTCACTGCAGATAAGTTTGCATTTTCTAGGGTTTTATATAAACGAAAGCATGCAAGATGTTCTCTTTTTTGTCAGGCTCTGTTCTCCAGACCTCATGATTTTGATATTCATTCATGTTGTTCCCTCTTTGCACAGCTGGTTTCTTTTCATTGCTGGGTACTATTCCATTCCTTACCATAGCTTGTGGAGCTACTCATTTGGTGGACATTTGGGTTGTTTCCAGTGTTTGGCTCTTACAAATAAAGCTGTAGATTTTGGACAAGTCTTTGTGTAGACGTACGTCTCTATTTGTCTTGGGTAGATGCCCAGGGGTAGAAGGGCTGGTTCCTCTGGGTGAGTGTATATTCAAGGAGTATAGTCGGGGTGTCTTCCAGAGGGGTTGCACCTCACCAGCAGCGGGAGAGGGCTGTAGGTACTCCCATCCTTGTCAGCACTTGGTAAGGTCAGTCCTTTTAACTTCAGCCAACCTAATGGGTGTGTTCTAATTTTTAAAATTCAGACTCTGCAGCAAGTTTCAGGATATCGCTTCAGGAAAAATCCTTTACAAGAAACTTTTGGCATGCATGGGAATTAGTGGCCCTCCCACCATCTCTCCAGTTCTTGTTCCAAAGGGTCAGCTGTTAAGTGAACGTTTTCAAAAAGAGGAACAGCTGCTGGATGTTTCAGAGAGGTAAAGCAAAACAAAATGCAAGCGCACACTGAAACCACATGCCTGTTGTGGGATAGGTGGTTAGTCAGTATTTGTTGACTAAGTGAGTGTTTTAATAGCTTATTTAAATGCGGGAAAATGGCAAACTATGAATACAGTGATGAGGGTCAGGGGAGTTGAGAGCAAGCAGAGATCTTTGGGATGATTGGGTTGACCTACTAGTTCTGGAAGTGAAAGCACTGAGGTCTGAGAGGTCTGGGGACTGGGCTCAGGTTATTCACAGACTTGGTGGCCATGCGGGGTTAAGAACCCAGGACCTTCCAGAAACAAGACAGATGAACAGAGGGGAAGGGAAGGAAAAATAAAATAAGATGAAAACAGAGAGAGAGGCAAACCATGAGAGACTCTTAACCCTAGGAAACAAACTGAGGGTTGCTGGAGGAGTGGGGGGTGGGGATGGAGTAACTGGGTGACGGGCATTAAGGAGAGCACTTGATGGAATGAGCACTGGGTATTATATGCAACTGATGAATCGCTAAAGTCTACCTCTGAAACTAATAATATACTATATGTTAACTAAATTGAATTTAAATAAAAAATTTAAAAAGAAAAAGAACCCAGGACCCTCGGCTCCCAGAGAACCTGTCTGCCACCCAACCATTCCATGCCTGCATTCACATTAGTTCTTTTCCAGAAACTTCGACTCCTTACCACTCTTTAATATTTATGGCAAAATACAGGCATTAAACCAGTTAACATTTTCTGACATGAGTGATAGAATTATTCAAATGATCACCAAATTGAATTGTAACAATAAAACATGCTTAGCAAATCTGTTAAACATCGGACTGATGAATATTCTAGCCCATCCTCATTTTGAAAAATATAGGTTTAGTCTAATGAGAAGATATTATTTTAACTTGCTGGTTCATAGCTTATAATAAATCCACAAGGAAAGGCAAAATGTAGACCTATTCAGCCGACTTTACTCTGTCATTTCCCTTTAAAAATTTCTTAAGTATAGAGCAGTGGGAATATTTTAATGCTATGCTAATGAAATTTGAATATCTGGGCATTTCCCTGGGAGCTGCTTTATAAATGGGCAGAAGGATGGTATTTTAAGAGAAAGGTTAAATATTCTGTGATGAGATGTGTCTGCCTCCTAAAACCAATGGAAGAAGTAATGGAAATTAGGCATTTTATAAAATGTGGGAATCCTGGAGAGCTCTTCAAAGCGAAGGCAGACACAGCAGGAGAGAAGTCCTTTCTCCACCACTGCCACTAGGCTCTCCTCCTCCCCACAGCTTTGGTGGGGTCCCAGAGACTTCGGGAGAGCTGAAGAAGTAATTGTTCTCAATCACACCCCCCCACACACACACATAGCACATCACATGAAGTCTAGATTTTATAAATCCGCTTGACTGTATAAATCAACTTGGAATAATTGTGAACTTCCCTTCCTTCCCACAAATGTTTGATGGCTTTTTTGGCTTAGTTACCATAAAACAGCCTATTTCATTTAAAGCTTTGTCGTGGGCTCTGACTTTTCGTTTTCCCAGTTCACACAAATACTTTTCCCGCCGTTTCTGCCCCGTCACACGCCCTATTCAGCCAGCTGCAAGCACAGTTGGAAGCCTTAGCACAGGGATGACCATATCCGTGGCCCTGAAGCTCCCCACCCTGGCCTGCGGCCCATACCAGCACCACACGAAGAGCTTTCTCCTGACGCAGTGCTGTGGGCCTCTCTGGAACCCACAGCCCCGGGCCAGTAGGAAGTTCTCAAGCCACACCATTTATCTGCGCATCTGTTTCCTGGTACGGGAGTAGGGGGTGGTGGACCTCCTTGTTGTCTGGGGTTGAATCCAAATTGGGTGAGGTCTCTAGGAAGCACTCTGCTGGATCTAAATGCCTGATTGTGATTGTAGAACCAAGCCCACTGAGGACAGAAGCACCCTGGCTAAGAATATGACCAAGGATGAAGTGATTGAAAAACTCAAAAACCATATCCAGCAGCGGGACCCAGCATTCAGAAAAACATTTCTTGACTTCAGCAAGGAACTTAATGGCAAAATTAATGTGCGTGACTTCAAGAAGGTAGGAGAATGGGTTTCTCTGTGTTTCTTTTGTTCCTGGAGAAGTTCGGTGGTTTTGTTGTACTAACAGGCCTCATAGGATGGGCAGTACATTTTCAGCACGGGGTTCATTCCCTTAAGGGCAAAGCAGATCCATTTCAAGGCATCTTTCAACCATGTAAAAGGATTCTTTCAGCCCAAAATGCCTTTGGCAACTTCCTTCAGAGAATACTTTTGGTATGGATATGGCCAGTTTTTGATACTTAAACTTTCCAAACAAAGTGTTCGTGGATGCTGTGTTTGGGCAGCTGCTGAGTACCTAGCTCCAGGCTCGGGCATCAAGTACATCCTGGAGCAGAATGGGGGTGGGCACCAAGCTGCCAGCGGGGAGGTCCAGGGATGCTGTGATAACAGAGGTGTGGTTTGTTCCTCGAGAAAGTGAAAAACGAACCTGGCAGTAAAAGTGGGAAGCTCAGAGTGCTGATGGGAACTGGGAGGTTCTGCCAGAAAGGACTCAGCTTGAAGGGTTCTGCATAGACTTCTCAAGGAATTAATTTAAATGATTGCTTAAAATTCCTGTTACGACCCCTCTAGCTAATCATCTTCAGCTATTATTTTTTTAAAGATTTTATTTATTTATTTGAGAGAGAGAGAGAGAATGAGAGAGAGAGCACGAGGGGAGGAGGGTCAGAGGGAGAAGCAGACTCCCTGCTGAGCAGGGAGCCCGATGCGGGACTCGATCCAGGGACGCCAGGATCATGACCTGAGCCGAAGGCAGTCGCTTAACCAACTGAGCCACCCAGGCACCCTCATCTTCAGCTATTTTTAAGACAAGCATTTCAGTTAATATGTAGCATTGTCTGTATGGACAAATTTAGAAGAAGGCAGTGAAATATACTTCCAAGAAGAGAATAATTATATTAGTAGCTACTATGTATCTAGTCCCTGCCCCCATGCCAGGCGCTGAGCTGGGCTCTGTACTTCTTTTCTTTTTTTTTTTTTTTAAGATTTTATTTATTTATAGTGAGAGCAGGAACACAAGCGGGGGAGCGGGAGAGGGAGAAGCAGGCTTCCCGCCGAGCAGGGAGCCCGATGCGGGGCTCGATCCCAGGACCCTGGGACCATGACCTGAGCCGAAGGCAGACGCTCAACGACTGAGCCACCCAGGCGCCCCTGTACTTATTTTCTCTCTGGGCTGGCAGCATCCCTGAGGCCGGATGGAGGAGAGAGCGGGGCTATCCACACAGGGATGGGGGGATGGGACGGGGTAGCTACCAACACAGCCCAGACTTCCCACGCCCCACCCCTGCCCCAAGACTAGAAGATGTGGAGGGCACGTGGGGCATGGTGAGGAGGACAGATTCAAGAAATATTTGGGAATAAAGGGTAATGGACAAGAAAGAGGAAAATAGGTCAAGAGTGGTTCCTCGATCTCCGGTTTGGGGGACTGGGTGGCTGATAATCAGTCATTGATAACTCTGTGAGCAGTTTCAGCGGGGTGGGGGGTGGTAAGTGGGTGTGACTCACCTGACGCTCCCAGGGCGCCTTGTCCTAGACTCTTTTGCCGCTAAGCCCCTCATGCCCAGCAGTCTTGAACGATCACAGTGCTCAATGCTCTTAATTCATGGAGTTAGTTCATAGGTTCTCAGGAGATCAGGAATCCACTAGGCTGCCGCTGATTTTTCAGGGGTTACCTTAGAGAAGGGCAGCAGGTGGTGGCAAAGTGGGGACCACTACCCCAGACCGCAGACTGCAGGCACAGATGCTCACCTCTGCTCACCTGAGAACAGGTCTGTTAAGCTCAGCCGCAGGTTTTTCCGTCTTAGGGCTTCTCTGCCATCTCTAAGCCAGTGGCTCTCCTGGTGGCATCTCTACTTCCCAGACTGTCCTCCTAAAACTTCAGTCTCTGGCGCCCACCTGCCTACTCCGACTTCTTCACGTGGGCGTCTGGAGATGCCAAACTGCCACCAAGGCCTTTCTGTTAGCAGCCCTTCCGTTCTCAGGGGCAGCCTTGCCCCAGTCACTCAGGGCTCCAATCTGGCGTCTTCCTTGACTCTCTCCTCTTCTCTCGCACCCACGCCCAGTGCATCAACAAAGCCTGTTGGCGCCCTTGAAAGTCACCCCAGAGCACAACTGCTGTCCCACCTCCTCCGCTTCCAGCCATCACCGCCTCACGGGGCTCCTTGCACCTGTCCTTTCCCTGCTGCGGTGTGTTCTCAACCCAGCAGCCAGAGTCACATTCCGATGGGTCTGCAGAGAGGGTCACTCCTGCCCAGGACCCTCCCATGCCCCCCCCCTCCACGGGAATACAAACCAGAGTCCCCACGGGGCCTGGAGGGTCCGGCACTACCCAGCCGCTCGCTGCCTCTGTGACCTCCACTCTTACCACCCTCCCCGCTACTCCCCTCGCTCCAGCCACACCAGCCTCCTGCTCTGCCTCCGACCGCCGGCCCCTGGCTGTCCCCTCTGCCTGACCAACATCTCTCTGAAGGCTGCGTGACTATCCTCCTCACCTCCTCCAAGCCTTTGTCCAACTGCACTTCGAGGCGACACTGGCATTCCCAGGGCAAATACTACCTGCTCTCCCACCTCAATCTCCTTTACCCCAGTCTTCTTTCCGCGGTGCAGTCGCCTCCTGCCATGCATCTTGTACTTAGAATCCTTCCATTCATGTCTTTATTCTGCTGTTTGCCTGACTTCCTCTGTTAAATCACATGCTCCAAAGGTGGACATTTTTTTCTCTTTCAGACAGTGAGGCATCCCAGGTGCTTGGCACAAAGCAGGGCACAACATTGACTGAATGAATGGATGAATTTGAAGAGTCACCAGAATCCCCAGTGGAGCCCAGATAGGATGCCACTTGGGGACTGAGGGAGGCAGGTGTTTCAGAAGCCTATTGGGATTCCTTGGCATGAGGCTGGTTCCCACACCTCTCCGTGGTGCTACCCAAGCCCACCCTAGCCCCCTCCCCTGCCCCTGGAGCTTCCCTGCATTCTGGCTCACCCTGGGGGACAGCCACATGCACACGTGGTCTGCTGCTTGCTTCACGGTGGTAGCCGCATACCTCTCCCTCTCTCTCTCCTGTCTGCTGGCTTCCCGCACACCCCCCTGCCTTCTGAAGATGTGCCCACAGTGAGGGCAAAGGGAAAAAGAACCCACGAAAGGACAGGGCCAACATGCAGGGAGAAAAGCTGCTGGTTGTTTTCACAACTGATTCGCTGGGAACCTAGTTAGGCAAGTTGTCCACTGGTTTCCCCCCTAGTGACTTGTTGGGTTTAACTTTTGGGAAACATCCTGTTGTGACCACCCTTTTAGCCTGAAGATCAACAACCCTGGGGTGATTTTAAGCAGTCCACTAGGGACCTAGGTTTGACCTTCATAAGCTGATACCTTCAAAGCATTTATGTAAATAGAAACTTTGTTGTTAATTGAAGGGATTATTTATAGATGAGGGTGCTTCTCTTACCGGTGAGGTCAGAAATCACGGTCTTCCACCTTAGAAAGAAACAAAAATTCAGATTAGACCTAATGCAGGGCTAGCTGGGTGTAAGATGGGCTAGCTGGGGGTAAGATGGGTTTGCTGGGTGTAATATGGGCTTGCTGGGTATAGTGTGGGCCAGCTGGGTTTAGTATGCGCTAGCTGGGTCTCAGTACAGGCTAGCTGGGTGTGATTGATGGCAGTTTTGGAAGAATTCTGGAAGAAGGACGTTAATTTTAATAACAATGTCCTTTAACTTCTTCCTATCATTTGGGTTATAGATACGCAGTGTTCTTGCCCTTGTCTTCCCCAAATCTGCCCCACAGCAATTAGTATGGTGCAGTGGTTGCCGAGTTTCACCCTGGAGGAATTGGGAGTGAGGCTCTCAGTCACATATCCCCGTTTGCCCATTGGCAGCACTTAGCCATTGGCCCAGATACCTTGTGCTCTAAATTAGAAGTGCTCATTCTTTATTCTGACCAGCCGTTGCCTGGCCTGTGGTGGGGGCAGAAGGTGGTTGGCTGCACGGGTTCAACGTGGGAGAGCTGTAATAGAGTCTGGAGTCTGATGGGACCTTGTGGGTCACCAAATCCAGCAAGTCCCTGCGCTGTCGTTGCTGGGGACTGTTACCAGTTTTCACCATCGTGGTCAGGAAGATTTTGTCTGCTATAAGGATGGATTTGTTTACTAATAATCTGTCTCCCCATCTTTCCTCTCTCTTTAATGTAAAAGACATCGGAGTTTCTGGAGAGTGTGAGGTGACCAGCTGTCCTGCCAGAGGCAGAGCTGTTGGGGTTTTAATGGACTCAGCTTGCTTTCCATGGTTAAATGTGTCATTCCCAGCGGGGGAGGTGGAGGGACTGTTCTTTCTGGAATGCCGCTAGACCGGGTCGGGGTAGATGGCATCCGACATTAAATCATCTCTCACAACAAGCCTGAAGGCATATTCTTTCTCCCAGGAAATGCCTCTCTCCCGGTTCATTGCTCACTCTGGCCACTGCACCACATGGCCTGTGACTTGCATAGTTTGTAATGTGTCGTTGTATTGAAATGACAAGTCAAGAACTGGTGGCGGTGCAGGAAACGGTTTTTGAATTTCAGGGTGATCTAGAATCTTTATATTCCTCCTTTAGATGCCTTTTCCTTCTTCTCTCCCTCTCCTTCACATGCTGAGTTAGCAGCAAACCCCCCAAAACTGTGTCTGATGTAAGAGAGGTGGTTGTTTTTCTCTTTTGTAATGAGGAGTCCAGACATTGTGCAGGGCAGCCCGGCAGCTCTACAATGTCTTCAGAGGCCCCGGCTGCTTCTAGCTTTCTCCTCGTTCAACCTCATTCTCGTGCATGGAATACAGCTGCTGGGGCACCAGCCATCACATACATTTCAGGCATAAGGAAGGGAAAAAGTGAAGGCAAAAGGCTTGAGCCAGACAAGTATTTCTTTTTTTTTAAGGGCTTTCTTGTAAGCTTCTCTCAGCAGCTTCATTGTATTGACCAGGCTGTGTTATATAGAGATCTTATAGAAAGAGAGACATGATTTTTTGCTGG